CGGTACATCCCCGAGGTTTTCTACCGGAAGATCAACGAGTACGGCGTGAGTGCTCAGCAAAACGCCAAGCCCAGCTTTCCTGTCGATTACCTACTAGTCACCCTGACTCATGGTTTCCCTACCGAGGCGTCGCCTATGTTTTCTGCGAGCACTTTTCCCATTGAGAACCGGGAAGTCATCGGCGAGAGCCAGGAGCTTCGCCATGTTGCGAAGAAACTGGTATCGCACGGTGATCCAGACAAGGCAATTCGGGAAGTGTCGGATTTCCATCTTCTGTGCTTCCTGCATTCGCTATCCATGTTCAGCAAGGTAAGTGGCGCGGTATCAGAACACTCAATCAGCTTGAGCCTGGCTTCACAAGCCCTCTGCCACTGTTCCTAACGTATGAACTTGCAGGAGGAAGAAGCACTGCTGTGCCGTGTCGCGACGTCCCATGATCCCACAGAGGGGCTGCAGCTGCTAAACACCCCCGGCTGGGCGACCCTGGTTACTGTTCTTCAGGAAAGTGGTGAGCGCCCCCCTAAGCGCCCCTGGCTAAACCCGGCCGATCCTCCACGCCCATTGTCCCAACAAGGGAAGCGTCATCTTTCCTCAAGACCTGAATCTCCCAAGTCAGAGAGTGAACAGCTTGCTAAGAGGTTCAAGGGAGCTAGCCTAGAGTGACCGCTCGATAGCTCGATAATTCCTCCGCCGCCACCCTGGATCTGAATCCCTGCTTTCTGGCCAATGGTGGCCCCAAGAAACAGCCTTTGGCTCATGTCCCGCGGCGAGGAGAATATCAATACAACATCCTTGCCTGCAACTGCCCTCTTCCTCGTTTCCCAACCGACAACCTGGTTTTCAACCATTGCCGCCTTCTCGACTCTCCGTCCCAAACCCTCTGTCAGCCCACGCGTATATGACTCCACCAAGCATTTCTCGCACCTTCAGCATGTGAAGACGAAGCTACATCTATAGCCTTGTGCGTCATCGTTCGTGACATCCTGCTCACATCTCGGGACTTATTGGTTAAGAAGGCTTGGTTTTCTTAGCCTCTGGTGAAGACAAAATGGTGTCTCATTCTCGGGAGTCAAGTTCTAGATAGAGGTTCAACCAATATATTGCATCTTCACATTTGAGAACCTATTTGCTCTCCTGCAGAGGTAGAACAAGACTAGAGCTGCGAATCGTCTTTGCTTTACTTGTGTCGGTCAACAGCACAATGCTTTAACATCATTACTATATGCGAGTAATACGCAGAAAGAAAAGTTTGATGAGAGAGCCGCATTCCAAGCATAAGCAGCCAAAATGTGGCCGAGGACGTCTAACTAAAATCGATGCTGGGATACATAAGACAGGGGAATATCAACATATAGACAACCAATTGTGACTTTGTGAAATCAAAAAGTGAACCGCCACATTCTTTTCCCAAATACATAATCATCCCAAACCATAAATTTCATGTGATCATCAAGCATTCGCGGGTGAAGAGGGTCGTTCGTGTGCATAGAAAGAGGATGGGAAATCAGAGACGTCGATAGAATCCAGAGGTCGAGAGGATAAGGATTCCAACGCTTGCATGAGCTAGACAATATTTCATTATTCGGGGTGAAGAAAACAAGGGGTCGAGACAGTGGCATCGAAAAGGGGGTGAAGGGGGGATATTAGCATACTGCAATAGCGCAATACACTTTCTGTACAATGGTAACGAGGCCGGTAAGCACTCCAACCACTCCGTCCAGGATGTTCGTTCATGTGAAATCAACGTTTTGTTGTCTTTCTTGCCGAGCTCGAGCTCTTTCCGCTCGTCTTCGCCGGCGGTTATTTGCATAGTCGCCACTGGCATCGGTGCCGGTAAATGTGCCCGGAGACGCGATGCTCCCGTAGGGCAAGCTGGAGGGTACATGAGGGGGTGGCGGAGAAACGGGACTCAGAGAGGGCGGGACAAATGACGGGGGAGGAGCAGCTCCCGAAGGAGCAGCAGAACCGGCCGCAGCCGCGGCCGCCTGCTGTTCACGTTGGATTTGTTCCTGCTGCTGACGCTCGAGTTCCTCCACCCGGCGCCATCGATCGTAGCTACCTTCGTTTCCCGATAAAGAGCTCGCGCTTCCGGCACGGCGACGTGAGTTTCTTCTCTCCCTTCGTCGTGCTTCACGGCTGGCGGCGGCTTCTTCCTCGGTCAGTCTCCTCAGAGTGACGTGCCTGCCGTCATTGTGCATCTTCACTTTGACAGACACAGGTGGAGATTCCACATGATCGTCCCGCTGTCTACTAGTACTGCGCTGACGACGATGGCTGGACGAGGCATCCATGGCCGCCGCTCCCGCTGCCAGCCCAGTGGCCACCTCGGGCAGCTCATGTCGAGACTGGACGGGAGTTGGCATCTCTGAGATTGGCTCTTGATGAATTGGCGGGGCAGGAGGGACATCGGGATGTGGCACGTCCACGGGTCCAGGTGTCGCGGGGCCGGCAGATATAGCGGACGCGCCGTGCGGGTGCCCACGGGGTGGGCGTGTCATGTCAGTCGATGAAAGATCGGTAGCGGTGTAGGAATCGGCCCTTCTGTGCTTTCGTGGGTAGAAGCCGTCTCCTGTATATCGCCGCTTACTGTTTGCTCGAGCGATTCTTTCCTCTTCTATATCATGACGGCGCATCTCCTCCACGCGGCGTTGCTCGTCACCTCTCTTGCGACGTTTAAAGAGACCCCGGAGAGCTGCGAAAGCTCCAGCACCGAACAAGGCGTTACGAACTCCATGAGAGGGCTCTGGTTCTGGCTCTGTTAAATATGTCGTATTGTAATAATAAGAGGATCCCGGGCTTTGTGGTCTACTGGGGGGCCTGCTGGGCGGTCTGCTTGGTGGCCGATTGAGAGGAGTCTGATAGCTTGGTTCTGGCCGTCGTCCGTCCTCCAACCTGCTCATCGTCGCTTCTGTCATACTATCAGTTCGTGTATGCGCCCGACTATAGCGACCGGATTCCGTATCACTATCTCGATCGCGCCTTCTGTCGAAGAATCGTTTGACGAGAAGCGCACCACCACCGATAGCTCCTAGTTTGAGAAGCTTGCTCCCCCAGCCACCACGACGTGACTCCTCATCGGAGTATTTGTCTTCCGAATAAGATATGTGGGAGTCTTCGTGACGTTCTTTCGGTCGTGAACGGCGTCGAAAAATCTCAGCCAGACCCGCTCCTGCCGCACCTGCCGCGGCCATGCGGCCAAAGCTGCTATGACGTCGGTCTTCGACGCCTGAAGGTCCTGAAACGTAGCTGTGCCGAGCGTCATATTCACTTCCTGCGTGATATCCCTCAGAATCGTACAGGTACGAGAGAACGAAGAATGTTGCCAGAAGTGCGAAAGCAGCTATTGAGTATAGTATGAACAAGGATTTCGGGGAGCCGTAAAGGGTGAGACCCAGGGGGATCTGCACTAGACCTAAGATCGCAAGAGCACGACCAAGCCACCGATGGATCTTGGGCACATTAGTTTAATGGTGTCGAGGTATGAAGAGACAATGGCTTTGTTCGCCGCAACTCACAACTAGCTTCAGCGGAACATGGTATCTCTTCCGCTTACTCTCAATTTTGTGCACGAGATACCCCCATAATACCTGAAAAATAACCATGACGTAGATCGCTAGCCCTATGCCATGATGAGGGTTCGTCAGACTTCTCTCAGGCCCGACGGCAAACCACCCGAGGACAAAGACGACAGTGCTCAATAAGAGTGTCAGGACCTGGCACCAGACATGTAGCTTGAAAGCCCAGAAAGGATTCCATCGCGAATAATATCGTATGATCAGGACCGATATGGGAACTAAACCGAGGAACACGATTGTTGCAATGACGCCATGAGCGATTATCAACGTGCGGTACTGGGGCATATCTCGGAACCGGTTCCCCATGCCTGGAATGTATGTCAGAAAAAGCTTGACCTTCACACGATCATGCGACTTGACCCACCGTTGTATTGCATAGTCTCAAAGTTCACACCCATCAAGTTCGGTAGAAGAAACGTATCACGACCCGAGTCCCATGTTCCATCTCCGACATGCAATGTATTGGAGGCATACGTGCTGCTCCCCGGAGGCGTGAGGTCTGAATTTGACGACATGACTTCCGTACGCACACCCTCGCGACAGCGACCTGCGAGACAAGGGAATGCCGGAACCACCAAGGAGATCTATTTAGATCCCCCACTCCAGGGAATGCACCATGCGCTTAAAGGAAACCAAATAGAAGCGTGATGGACGATCGGCTGTGCCTGTCAATTAGCTCACTAGATGCAAAAATGGAAGACGTGTGAACTTCTGAACTGTCGAGGATGGAATCTTTACTTCTGTATAGTCGTGAGGCTGGCGGTGAGGAGGATCGAAGCGGGGACAAGACGATTGAACGAAAAGGCTGGAAAAGAATACCAAATATGGTGTCAGACAAAACATCAAAAAGGAAAATATGAAAGATAAAGCGTCTTACCAGAACCGGCTCGAATGAAGCAATACTGACAATAATAATAATTGGCCTCTGGAAGGGAGCAGATGGCTGGATGCTGGGGCGGCTGAAGGAGCGTCACAACTGTTTGCCGTTTTGGGTTTAGTGTGCCAACTCATATCCAGAGCAACCAACCGCTGACTCAGCGACTGCTCCCTACACCGCCTGCTGCTTATGGATGCATCGTGTGCCTAAGGTATCTTATGATTATTCTTATCAGCTGGACCCACGGGTGGGTTGGCGGTGGTTCTCAGTCCCTTGATCCTCATTGTCCTCTGATCTTTTCGCATATCAACGTCATTCTATTTCTTCCTTTCTATGATTCGTTTCAAGGCAAGACTAACAGTAGAGATATGTCTTCCCAACTTGAGATCTTCGTGAGGGCTCTCTCGCGGTGAGTGTTGATTATCACTGATACTACTGACGTGTGCTGATAAGCCGTTTATAGCCTGTTAGGATGGATATAGTATGTGACTGTGTTCTTCCAAGTCAATCTGGGGCAGACAAATCTCCTGAGAGGCTCCTATCCCAAAATGACTGTCCGGTTGCTGACCTGAAGACCAAGTACGTTTTGCTGGTCGGCGTCCTTTTATCCCCAGCCGATCAGTAACTTTCGACGGCGTTCAACAGTCGGGTTGGCCATTGACTTTCCCACTATCAACGTCCTGGGCTTCGTCTGCTACACAGCATATACATCTGCCTTTCTTTACTCTCCTGTGATTCGGCAGCAATATGCTGCCCGTCACCCTTCGGACGAGGAGTCGACAGTGCGCTTCAACGACTTTGCCTTTGCGTTGCATGCTGTCATCCTCAGCACATTAGTTTACACACAATTTTGGCCTAAGATCTGGGGGTTCAAGGTCTCCCGCTTCCAGACCGTTAGTAGACCGGTTCTTGGCCTCTTCTGGGGCTCCATTGCAGCGATAGGTATAGTAGTTTGCATTGTTTTGGCTAAGAGCCCTGACGGAGGATATGACCCATCCACCTGGGCATGGATCGATGTGGTAAGTGGTTTGGGGAGTTGAAAAGACTTATAGGACGTTTCGTGTCAATCCTGACTCCGCATCCTCTAGATTTACGCCCTCTCATATGTGAAGTTGATCATCACCATCGTGAAATATGTCCCTCAAGCATGGGTCAATTATAAAAGAAAGTCCACAGAGGGGTGGAGTATCTCCCAGATACTTTTCGACTTGACTGGTGGGGTTTTGTCCCTTCTGCAACTAGTTTTGGATTCTTCGTTTCAGAGCGACTGGAGTGGCATTACTGGAAACCCCGTCAAGTTCTTATTGTCAAACGTGACCATCCTGTTTGATTTGGTCTTTATCGTACAGCACTATATCCTTTACAGAGACTCCCTGGAAGGCAAGATCAATCGTCATCCCGACCTCGTCACTCCCCTATTGTCGGACCCAAGAGCTGCTAGCGCTTGACCTCTTTTCTATTTGATGTTGATATATACATACATATTATGCTCCTTTAGACAATAGCTCAACCATACTTGCTCCCTTTGAACCTGCTTGGACTCATCTGCACCACTGACGTATGTAGCCAGCGCGATCAGTAGAATTTTTCAATTCTACAGGAAGAAAAGCTGGTAAGGCTTCCTAGGCTGCCAAACCCAATTCAGCGGGACGGCAAGGAGGAAAAAGCCAGTTGTCTCAGGGAGGGCAAGACAACAGTGAGCCGCCTAGCATGACAAAAGACAAGCAATACTTGAAGGCTTGTTGATACATCATGAACCCTGTTCTGCTGACACCGCTCTTTTTACAGCCACCCGGGGAGGGGCTTTTCTGGGGCCGTCCCGTTTCCATTTTTATCCATTCTTTGCATAACCACCTTCTCAGGAGGATAAGCACTGAAAAATAGCACAATGGGGTTGCATTGGAATCTGCGCTCGCTTGATGAAACCGTCACAGTGAATATGACTGTTATCTGGAGTTGAGACAGGAATCGAAAGGATGTAAGGCCAGGTAAGCATATCCAGTCCCAGTCACCAAGGTGCGGGGGCCTGATTAAGGCGCAATGCCATGCATGTTTTAGCTTATGCACAGTGAGAAAACAGCATATTCTCTTCATTGTCTGCCGATTGTTCTGCTGTTATGTTCATTGTTCACACCGCACGGAACCATGCATAGGGATAGGGCCGAAGCTGAGACCGAGTCACGTGGCTCGCGGGTTTCAGCCCAAACAGGCATCTTATGAGGCTCTAAGCCTCTGGCCGATCGGCCTGCGTCGAAGAGGCAGAGGGCGTCTTCCCCTTTGTGGACGCCGATATCCTCTGTCAGCGAAAAGGGCCGTTTGTTTGGTAGATCGCCTGTGACTAATTATAACTCGCAACATCTCAACCAGGTAAAGCCTTTCTCGACAGCTGAGACAATTGCCATGCCACTTGCTGATTGCACAGCGTCTCCCGCACCTCAGCCCTACCGGACATCCAATGATGACCCCTGATTGCCAGGACCAATCTGTCTTCTCCATACTCGATGCCGGGAGTCCGTGTTGTCAACCACAGATCTCTGAAGCTGTAGTGCCTTCGGTGCGGCCGCTGATGCAAATGAGAAGACAAGCTAAACGACTAAACGACTAATCAGCACTAAGAATCGAACCCCAGTGTTCGGAACGTGAATCTGCTGCTATTGGCTCGTACGCCAAGCCTCGTATACATCTAACTATATGCAGCCAAGTCCAAGCCCACAACAAGGTTCGGAAGCCACAGGTACCGGCAGCGAACGACAGGTATGAAGGTATGTGTCTCAGCACAGCATCATACCAACTGATTTCTCTCACGGTCACTGGTTCATTATGTCGATCTCCGAACGTAAACCCGACGCTATCTGGACTTTGAGCCTCCCTGGCCTTCTCACGTAGTTTCAACGTGCTGTGTGAATGGAAGAAATACAACATGAAGAACCCAGAAATAGGCATAATCGCACGTCGAGAGCCAATGGTATCGACTCTGATGATATCAACCGGCTCTATGCAGGTTTAAGAGTCGTACATGGGCATTGTGAAGAGTCGCCATCTGCTAATTCAGTCAACTCTGTCAGCGTGCCGAAGCATAACATAGCCACGTCTGACGTTGAGCAATACCATTCGGCTCTGATGAAGAAGCATTTCTGGCTATATCTTAGTCAATAAAAAAAAAAATTATGGTACTGACTCGACTCATCTAGCGCGGAGACATTCCGCATTCAATAATGCTGGATCGCATCACCAGGAACTATTTAACTGCAAGATCTCATGATTAACCCTTGGTCGGAACAAGACAAGAAACTCAATCGGCATCCGCCTCGATCCTGTGGTTTCCTTGAACAGAAACCGGATCAACTAGCATTTCATACTGTGGCCCGTGACAGCATGACTTTATTCACCACGGACCACCGAACCATCTTCGCCATGTCTTCGCATCAGTATACCTTCCCGGGCTTGCACGATGTCCCCGAAACCTACCCATACCACGTGGGCCAAGCAGACAGCGAGGAAGACATGGACAGCCTCTACATGGCCAGTCCCCCCGCGTCCTCATACGCAGGCCTCGACTTCGAGCCAGCCATGCCAGCCATGCCAACAAGTCAAGCCTACAACACCACCATGCTCGCACCCATGAGCGGATCCTACCTGCCCTACGGCGATCCGTGGACCTCCCAAGTGCCCCCAACAGCAACATACCACCCCACCGACATCTACCCAGCGTCAACAATGACATACACCCCGCAAAGAACACACCCCGCTACCCTCAACCCCAACCCGCAGACCTACCTCTACCCGGGCCCTTCAACCCCCAACCCCGACCCGAAACCACCCTCCCCAGACCTCGACACCAAGGACCTAACCAACTACGGCATCCCCAACCCCGACGGCTCCTGGCGCTGCGCTTACCCAGGTTGCACCTCGGCCGCGACGTTCCACCGCGGCTGCGACCTCCGGAAGCACTACAACCGGCACCGGAAGCATCTGTTCTGTCGGCACGAGGGCTGTCCGCAGGCTGTTGCGGGCGGGTTCTCGAGCAAGAAGGACCGCGCCCGGCACGAGGCGAAGCATAACCCCGGTGTTGTGTGTGAGTGGCCGGATTGCGGGAGGGTGTTTAGCCGGGTAGACAACATGAAGGATCATGTGAGGCGGATTCATAAGAGGGGAGAGGTTGACTCTTGACCTTGACTTTTTTTCTCTGGGAATGTATGCATTTATGGCGGGTTTGGCTTTGGGTTGGTATTAGCGGCGGATGTCATTACGCGGGAGTCTCGATGTTGTTTGTTTGTTGTGATTCTGCTGTTGTATTCGATACACCACCTTATTGTTCTTTGTTTGTTTGAATTGATTCAAGTCGTATTTGGGCTATATCATATCTTTGCATATACATGTAKAGCAAGATGAAGGTGAAAAAGCTCGATTCCATTCGATTCCAGGCCGAGATCAAGACGCCAAAGTTTCCAAACAAGAACAATGTATGTGGAGGCTAATGTGCAGCTCAGACAATAGAAAGAAACACTCAACGCCGGCTATCGCAATCACAAGGCAAGTCCCCATCTCGGACACCATGCTGTACCCTATAGCGATGGAAGGATATATGCTAATACAAAACGAACGGCAGCATACAACGAACGCGGACGTAATTCTAAGAATATTGGTATCATGTACGGTACGACAAACAGGAACACGGGAAGGGAATTCGTCAATGCATATGCAGGTTACACGAATGGGCGGTCGATCCTGGGTGGTGATGCCGACGAGAGAAATGTTTCGACTGTCGGCATACTGAAGGCGAGTGACTATGAAGGGTAATGCAGCGCGCACAAGCTACTGAGCCGTGGTTCGGCGTCGTCGGCCTCGAGTGCTGCCCTCGGGTCTCTGAGATAGCACTCGTCTGAGCTCGGGATCGTCCTTGCTCTTATCAACGTGGTGAACTCGCACGTGTCTAGATTCTGTCAGAGAAACTGAAGGATGGCCAAGAAACAGTATGAAGCTCACCTTTGAAGGTTATCTGGCCGGGGATATTTATGTTGCTGATCCGGACAGAAAGGGCATACATAACCTGGCGAATTATGGACAAGGCCATGCCGAATCATCTCATTCTTGCGTTTGAATCCTTTGCCGCCAACTCCTCGAGCACATCCCTCGACCGGACAAAAGTGTGGACGATCTTGTGAATGGACATTTGCATGAGAGCTGCGAAAGGTGAGCCCGTTTCTGTCAACTCAAAGAGTTTCAGTGTTGACTTACTTAAGCAAATATTGGGTCTGAAAAGGTGGAGCAGTACACCCTGGATGCCGGCATTTGAATGTGCCTGGGGGAACCGGTGCGGTGGGCGGCGGACCCGGATTGAAAGGCGGCCGTTCGCCTGTCGGGGTCTGATCAGTGGGAGTGGGATAGCTGGTTGCCGGACTCTTGACTGCCGATGGCGAAGGTTCGTAATGCGGCGTTGTAAGATAAGTGATGTCGGATCGTGTATGCCTCCACTGGGGTTGTTGCTGCGATGCTGGAGAGGACACAGCCGACATGCCCTTGGAGCTCGCAGGGGAAAGATGGGAATAAGGACTAGGGGGAACCTGCGGTGGAGCAAACTGTCCTGGACGTTGATGATCCCACGCCGGTTCATTCCTTGTTATCGATGGAGGGGATGTGGATACTGGAGGAAGAGAGTAAGGCCCTGAGATCTCAGCCAAAGCAGTCTGTATCGACGGCAGGCTATGCTGTTGGTGGTTCTCTGGCGATTTGGCGATTGCTAACGGAGGAGACGTCTGGAGTGCTGGAAGCAAGGCTTGAACCGGTCCCTCTGAAGGTGATATTGCAAACTTTTTCAAGGGCGAAACAACGGGAGACTTGCGTTCGGCGGTGAAATTTGGCGGCGCCGGTGGATGTGATTCTTTCGGAGATGATACTTCGACTTTGATGCTGATTGCCTCGGCCTGTGTTACAGCTGGTTCCAACAAGTCCTTGATCGATTGGGGCGGAGATGCGCTCTTGAGGGTCGGAGGTGATACCAAGTTTTCAGGTGGTGGTAACACGTCAGGGCCAGACGACAAGAGTTGAAGAGCTCTCTCCGCCACTGACGAAGGCGGTTCCTGGAATTTGACATCTTCCACTGGCCGAGGGTCAATTTTCGTTTTCTGCAGATTTGGTTGAGCCTCTATCCAGGGATCCCGAAGGCGCGGATGTTCTAACTCGTAATTGGCAATATCCGGGCGATTCGGTTCTAGATGATAGATCAGTACCGAGTCGCCCTCAGTTGTTTCGGGCTTGGATGTCGGCGACGGCTTACGGGGAAAGTCCGAAGACGTTCCCTCATCTCCAGGGTATTTAGCAGTAGCATCAGATTTAGAGAGCGAATCTTGAGTTAGAAACGGGGGCAGCTGCTCGTCGGGCTTATAATTGGGTTTCTGAACCTCTAGCCCGGGAGTGAGCCGGTCGTCATCTGGTTCGTATGCGTCGGTCATGGAGGCGGGCTTTGAGGGGGCATTAGGAAGCCCCTTCCTGATGGATTTCCTCGTCTATGGGTACCTTTGCCCCCAGTCTACCTCCCTGTGCCTGGCTTGGGGGAAAAAGTCGATTCCAAGCTCACTAGCCCGCAACTTAGGGGAGCAGGTGAAGAGAGAATCAAAGCACATAAGACACAGTGCTTTTCAGAGGGAATATCTATTGACATTGTTAGTACATGTGATTGACAGAAAAAGGAAAGTATGTTGAATAACAGCTTATAAAAGACTGATCGGGTCGCCAATACACCCGTTTGCTCGGAGCCAGTACGCAATTTCTGGGGTGAAAACCCCGCAGTAGACCATCGACCATCTAAGGATCTGAACAAGAACAGAACTGATCATGACGTTTTTGCATGAGGACTACCATTGACTAACCAGAGAGAGAAAAAAGGCACGTTTCGCGTTATGGAGCAGTTTATTGATGGTGGCGCCAGTCCAAGCTCCATTTCCTCAGAAGGGTAGAACGCGGGAGAAACTGAGGCAACTTAAGGTAGGCTCACCTTTAGGGAATTGGAAAGACCTCGTGGCTTGAAGCCTATCGGTGATTCCAGACGGGACCGATGATGGTTGCAGGAGTCGGTCACCTGCAGCGAGGCTCAGAAGAAGGCCGAATCGCACGGTCAATGGCGCAGATCGAATTGATATACCAGGTGCATCGGCAGGCTGGGAGTACCAGGGCAAAAATACCGAAGATATGGACGAATGAAACGCGCAGGAGAATGATGACAGAGCTGTGATGTTGGGAGGGAGGAGACAAACAAAGAATCCCACAGGGCGCAAAAAAGTCCAGAATTGAAGAAAAGCGGAGTCGCAAATGGGAGTAAATAGTTGGGAGTGTTAATTATAACGGCCGTGGACTTGTGGACATGTGCTGGTGGTGACGACGCTGCAGTAGCGGGTTTCGTTGCAATAAGAAGAATAGGTGTGGTAGCAGTAGAGAGGTACTTCGCAGGAGCAGAGCAAAGTAGAAGCAAAATGCAGGTCGGGAAGGGTAATAAGAGTGACAATTATAGCAACAATGACAGCAGTAGCCAAGTCGTGCGTGGCCACAGGAAGGAAGATCAAATCAGAAGTACTGATGAGTGATGATAATAAATAATGATCAATAATAGGAATAATTATCCAGACTATGGCCTTCCAGACGATGAGGCTACTGCGTTTGAGCTAGTTAGCTCGAGCGGGAAGAGGTGACGCTGGCTTGGCGGAACGGTTGAAAAGGGTTTAGAGTGAGTAATAATGGAGGAGAAAATGGGTAGAGGGAGGATCAGAGATGAGGAGAGAAGGTTTAAGCGGTCAAAGGTAAATCCATGGACAGGCAATAGTTCCCACGGACACCGATAGATATTTGAGGATGAGGATGATAACGACGACTGATGAAGACGAAGGATTGCAGGGAGTTTGCTGTTCTAGATTATCGCAAGCACTTTCGAACCCGAATACTTGGGTGAAATTCGCCCTATTTTCACTCTTTCCCAAATTTAGTAAAATGTTGTCAGATTTTCGATAATTATTCGAGGGAGAAGGCAAAGGGTGGGATGATATGAGATAGCAGAGAGAAGATCACCATGAGAAGGGAAAAGAAGAGAAAAAAGGTCGCTGTCCTGACGCTCACAGAGTGCTGGGTTACCTTGTCTCCAGACGCGCCACAGCACAGGCAAAGCAAAGTGGGGTTTGAGGCAGAGGACGGAATACAGTACGACTATTCCTTTATGGCGCAGCTAGGTATGGATTCCAATTTAGATGAATTTTAGTAGGGAGGGAGGGAGCGAGGTAGCGCTTGTCCACTGTCCAGTCATCTATGAGCCCCAGTAGGTACCTTAGTCTAGCTGACTAGGTAATAATACTAATGATTGACAGCAAAGTATGGCCATCAGTCATCATCATAATACCGCCTGATATTATTTTTCAAGGAAAACAATGCTAACCGACCAGGACGGACAGTAGTGGCATAACTATACTATATTCCCTGTAAACGGGGATTGTCCGAGACCTTGTTTTATCCAAGTTGAGTGGGGATTCATCAAGTCTATCAACATTTTTGAGATACACTGGCTTAATGAAATGGCGGTGTTTTATCTTATTCCCCATGATCCTCAAGGAGTTGACGACCGGACCTAGGCAGCTCTATTCCACAGTTTCACCTAGCACCGGGTTCTAACGACCACGAGCCTCTTCCGGGCCAGCCGCACCATCCAACCAAACAACCTCCACGTTTGGGCCATTTGAGGCTCTCTGCAGAAATGCTGTGTATGATTGGTCGGCTAACGAAGGCAAAAAGAGGAGGCTGAAGTTGCTCATCTGCACCGAACCGACGTGGAAACTCTATGAATCCATATTACTTGTATGTGAAAGGATTCTCGCCGAGGGGATCCTTCTGATTAACCTTGATCTGATCAGTCTTGTGATGTGCATGACTCCCTGGCGAACCAGGGACCGTCCAAAGAGGCTCAAACTCTCCAAATTCTCCAAAACTTTGAAACTCCTGAAGCTCTAGCCTCAAGAGGTCAGCCTGCTGCGATCTGCCTTCTTTCCCCTCACGGTTACGAATTACGTGCTCATACAGGAGCGAAGGATTTTAGGGTGCTTTTTGACTTCTTGTTTAGTGCCTAAGGCGACAAAGGCTGTAAGCCTCGCATTGATTAGGTAGTCTTCATGCCTAAGGCTCGTTTCTTACGTTTTATCCCTGACCGCATATTCTGGTTCCACAAGGCTCTACTCCGTACAGCAAGAAAAAGCATGAGGAGGATTTGAAGATTATTGAGCCGAAAACAGAATCAAGTTCGTTGGTTAGCAGCGATTTCAGGTAGACAGATCCCCAACTCAGAATAATAAAAGAACAAATACCTAAGTTCAGGACATATACTATCCAAGAAGAGTACAACGGGGACTGGGTGACCGCCCACCTACGGAGAAAAATGAGGCTGGAAAGTCGCCGAACATCCCGGACAATGACGGAGACATCAATCCGCCCATGAGCAGACTCCGGTTGATATTTCCGCCTCAGGACTCTGGCGCCCCTCGACGCCGGGAATGGGATACGACCTATACGAACCATCCGAGGTTTCAGTGTTCGCAACGTCGGAGCCTCGGAGTCCTGCGTTGTCACCTCACTAACCAGATAGAAGAAAAAATTTCAGAGGATGAAAGTGGGTAGGTAGATATCTAGTCGTTGATTTCGCATCCGCCTGGGATGATCTGGCAGGCTGGCAGCAACAGCACCAGCATCAGCATCAGGATCAGCCTCTAAGGTGGAGTTCAGACTTCAGCATATCCAAGCGGATGTAACATCAATAACGGACAATGGTA